TTCCAACAACAGAGAAAGGGTGAGGATGAACAAGCAAGTGGGATCAGGATGAAAGGATAAATAGAAGGAAATAAAAAATCAAAATTAATGTAGTATCTCTGTTTAGGATGTGCTTTGTCTGACTTACAGGCTGCGTCCACCCTGTACCCCAAGTCCACACGTGGCCATCCTAACTCCCAAGTGTGAAGGTATTTAGGAAGTGGGGTCTTAGTAGGTGATTGGGTAATGAGGGCAGAGTCCTCATGAAAGGATTAGTACCTTTCAAAAAGAGGGTCCCACAGAGCTCCCTCATGCCTTTTACCATGTGTGGGCACAATGAGAAGCTTGCACCCAGAGGAGAGCCCCTCCTTCGATCATGCTGGCACCCTAATCTTAGACCTCCAGACTCAAGAATTGTGAGAAATAAATTTGTTGTTTACAAGCCACATGCTCTATGGGATATTGCAGTTAGAGTTATAAGACACTGACTTACAAGAAACCTAATAGAAATAACCTATATTGATTAAATCTAGAAAGTGTGTATTAAAGCACTACATTTTTCAACTTTCAAGAGAAAGTCCCTATTTCAAGATTCTTTTTATGCGTTTTATGATCTTTCATTAGCTGATTCCCTTATCTTAGATGATAAACATTAAAGGGTGAAGGTGTGAGCTCTTAAAGGAAAGGGTTATTTCACTCAATTTCGTAGCTTCAGCACTAAGCAAAAGAGTAACCTTTAAGCAAACATATGCAACTGATCACTGAGAGCCACATTCACTTAAAGCAGATTTGGGAGCAAATCACAAGATTAAAACAACAGAGGCAGCAGTTTGTCACCGAGGACTGGGTCCAGGTGTGCTCATAAACCTTTCCATAAGGTTCGCCCTCATCATTATCTTGGTATTTTAAAAGGTCTATTTAGATGACTGGCGGCAAATACAATGGGATGCTAAGTGAGATCTCCCTCTGCGATCATAGAAACCATCTGCCTTGGCTCCAGAGAAACTATTTATAGCAGATAGGACTGATGTGGTGTCAAGCCCAAATCCCAGAGGCTTAATTCCTCTAAAGAAGGCAAAAATATCCGTTGTACACACAACAAAGAGGGCACAGGAACACTAATTGGGAGGGCGGAACAGATGCCTAAGAGGGGTCACCAGCACTCGGAAGGTCCTCTTCATACATCAGCGATGAATTAAAGATCACGACATAATCAAATGAGAAAAGGCAAGTGGCAAGGGTACTTTTGATACAGGGCTCGGCACTGTTCACAATTTCCTTTCATATGTTCTTTCCTTTGTGTGCTAACTTCCTGCTGGCTAGATGTAGTTCCTAGACCTAATGGGATAGCATGACCTGGGGTGTCAATCCGTCTGCATGTCCCATGCCAGAACTTGGGGGTGGGGAGAGGAAAGAAACCTTTTCGTTGTGGTAAACAATGGTTTTCTTTGCTAAAGCACCTTCCACCCCCTGCTGTTCAGCCTCACCAGAAACACATGCCCATATATTACCTGTGAGTCTAACTTACAGTTTTTGATGAGGTACCTGAGGTCAGGAAATAAAAGCTGAGTTCCATTTCTCAGTTTTAAGTGGTGCTTATCTTTCCAAGGACAATGGGATTTACTGTCTCAAAGGCAGTACTATATATTACAGATCTCAAGATGCTCTTAAAGAATCCTTTTTATTGGCAGTCTCATGATGGCAAGGGAAGCAGAACACAGTACTTAGCAAACAGCCTCACATCCAGGATGCAGGACGTGCAAACAGAGAAAGCCCTCAAGCTGGTGGCCAGTGTCACAAACATGCAAAATTAAAGAGCAAGGGCAGCGTGGGCACATCTTGCTCAGGCAGGTTAACCAACGGCACAAAGCAAAATCACAACAAGCAAAAATACCAGTGAACAGACTCATTCAGCTCTGCCAGACATGTTGGTTAAATCCTTCTGATTTCCTATGGGAAATCTATTTCTGCCTTATTTAAAGCATTATAAAGGGATTCATAAAAAAGAAATCAGAGCGTTACTTTAATTTCCCCAAGAGAACACAACCACTTTTATTGATTGGTTTTCTCAGTAAGTTCGCATCCTCAGGAGGTAAGGCATCCCATAGGTTGTGTGCCCAATGACCTGAAGCAGAAAGGTTGCTTTGGGATTTGGCATGAACCTTCATCAGTTGATTCTGGTTTTACTGTTACCCACCAGCAGTCACTGTGTTATTCCTTGTCTTGTAGATGTAAAATAAGCACATCTCTTACTTAGACAGAATTCAGCTTCATCTTGAGCATAAACACCTCCAAATTTGAGAATCATATACATCTATTTTCTCTGGCTCCAGGGACCTGGATGTAGTCACCAAAATGGCCTGGAACTATAGCCTGCTGGCCATATTTCAAGAGTCCTGTTCCTAGCAGTCTTTAGTTATTTATCCCCAAAGTTCAGCAACAGGAATTTCACTCTAATTTTCTTTATGAAAGAATTCACTGCAGAATTTCCTTAAATTCTAATTTCTCTGGTATTTTCCAAACACAATTTTATTTATACATGATTTATTCAAAATACAGGAATATCACTTTGGAAAAAAATGAAGAAAGGTCAACCAGTAGTTTCTGAATATTACACAAAGGTTTTAGTTTAATAATCATAGATATTTATATATGGACACTTTTGTGCTGTTTATAAAGTCTCTGGTTTTCTTATATTTTTAAAAGATTTATTTATGCATACAGAACTGGGGTAAAGGACAGAGGTGAGAGGATTCACCAGAGACAGAGTGGGAGCACAACAGGCAGAACTGATGAAGAACTCTGCTGAGGGCAGTACCTGGCAAGACTACTGCTCTATGTGGATCACCTCTGGGGCGGGGATCGAACTCATGCTGACATAGCTTTAGCTTCTTCTTCTTCTTCTTTTTTTTGATAATATAATAAGTTTATTTTTATACAGCTTTAGCTTCTTAGTGCTGTATTTTAACCTGCTCTGCCACCAGAAAGGGCCTAAAGTCTCTGGTTTTAGGCACAACCCAATGAGTCAGGATTGTTAAACTCTGTGTGTGTTATAGCTGAGGCTTGTAGAAAATAAATGCCGTGTTTGCTATGCACTGAGTATGAAGCTTAATACTACATACAGATGATCATCTCTTATCATCTCCTAGCAATTCTATAAGGTTATCCAATTAACAGACCATGAAACAGACTCGGCCCTTTCTTTTTGTATCTAACCAATACAAATCGTAGAAACTATGTGACTAACAACTAAAAGAGTAAAGATGACTATCAGCTTTGTGTGTAGCCAAGGAAAGACCATGGAAGCCCAGGGAATATGTCCTTGGGGAGGGAGGCTTGCAGGATGCAAAATATCTTGATGGGGCAGGGAGAGGAGGGCAGGAGAGAGCAGTTTGTGGAAAGGGAGCAGAGTGTGAAAGATTGGAATGTGTATGTGGTTTTGGGGAACAATAGTCTGACCTGGCCTAGTGTATTACCTACTTAACAGGAGCTAGCTGGGTGGCTGGAAGGCTGGTTTGAGTGTTTCTATGAGCTGCTCAAAGAAAACCCCACAAAGTTAGTAGGCATTATTAAGAATATGATTTAAAAATATAGCCTAGACCAAATCACTTGAAGGGAAACTTCTAAGGAAGAATTTCTTCAATGGCCAAAACCCAACTAGATTAGTAACCCAGAGGAGAAATGCAGGAAAGTTCTGGGGCCGTAAGGAGGCAAAATGCATGGATAGGCTGGAAACTAAAACTTGCCGCTGAGTTAGTTAACTCCAGGTATTCCCGGCTCATCCAAATTGATGGAAACATCACATTGTATGTGAAGTTACACATAACAGTTCCTGCCCACACAGGCAATTAGATAATTAAGGAAATAAATTATCATGAGTACTGGAAAAAGTTTAACAGAGCTTTAATCAAATTGAAAGAGATAAAATCCTTTAATAAATAAAAACCAGATCTAGAACATTCAGACTTAGGTGGTTGACTAAAAGAGGCCAAACGTTTTAAACACCAGAATTCTGAGACCATGTAGGAGAGAGAAGGACCATGGCCAGGAGACAGAGAGAAGGCCTCCAAATCCAGATTTCTGCATAGGCTGTTCTTGAGTTTCCTAGTGCTTAGGGAACTGTTACTAATTATGGAAAAATACAATAGGCTCTTCCCAGCTCCCAATAGTATAAACACAGAAACATATGTTCCTGCCAAAAATAGAGAAAAAAAATCATTGTATTGATCTTTTTATACTTATTCTATCTGTAAAGCTGGCAGAAAGAATTTGTCCTTACTAAGTAAAATGGGCAAAAGAAATACCAAAATGTTCCCTTCAACATTCTCATTAATAAAAATGACTATCTTTATGGGGTCCCTGGTTAGGGATGGAGTTGAAGGGCAGGGTTAGTACAAAAGGGTAGGAGGGAGACTTATTTTTCACTTTATATCCATTTGTATCAATTTAACATTATAAAATGTACATTTATAATATAAAAAAGTTTTATATTTTAATAGCATTATTGATTAGTGACAAAATGTATTAGATAATCAAAGACCTACCATCCAAGCATAAACTAAAATTCTAGACCAGTCTTGAAAAATGTTTTGAGTGACCATGAACACGTACACAATCGAGCCAAGGACAGTATGTCAGACTGGCATAAATGATGAACCCTTACACAGTACTCTATTAAATAATGATGATGATGATGACAAGGATGATAGCAATACTTCAAACTGATTTTACATTTTATATGTGTCAGACATTGTCCTAAATCCTGTTGTAATATTTCTGAATGCTGCTGTTGTTGGTCTAATAAGCATTTCTAAAAAAATACCCAACTCCTGAATAGAGATAATCTTGGTGAAAATAAACTCTTGGTGAAAGCTGATCAGATGGTGGATGCACATCTATTTACAATTTTGTGTTTTTCCATTCTATGAAAAAATCCAACTCTCCACTGAAAGACATAGGCCATATGATAACCTCAACAGCTAGCACTGTGACAATGGACATGCTTCACTTCTAGAACTTACCAAGGGTGTGTCTTTTCCTCCCACGATGCTGAGACCAAGCCCTGAACGTCCCTTGGATATTTCTATAATCATTTCTTGGCCAGGGACAATGGGGCATGTTGCAGGGTCCACTGACAGAGGAGGCTGACAGCCACCTGCAGAAGAATGAATACCAATGACTGACAAGAAGGGGACCCGCTCAGCTTGCTGGCTCCCTACATGGGGAGTGTGGGGTCTGCATGTGGTTACCATTTCACTTTCTTCTTGCTAAGCACCATGAAGGAAAAAGTGGGGTCATTACTATCCATTCACCCAGGGATGAAACATAATATTCCTACAACACATTTGAGACTAAAACATAACTACTTCCCCCTTTCCAAAACTGTCCATTTTAGTTACACTTGAAGATTTTTTAGACTTTTAATAATCATGAAAACTGGTATGGAAATACTTAAGATAATTAAATACATATAGACATATGCTATAATGAGAATAAACACTGGTAAGACAGAAGATTCTGTTATCCCTATAAAACAATAATCAATAGTGTTTAAATACCTACAGTGAGTGCGTATCATATGAATTAAGATGTGGAAAGAATTTAATCAATAAAGTATGAAGCGGCAGAAAAGAATTACCTAAAAATTATTTTTCTGTACAAAAAAGGAGGAGGGGTTATAAATACAACACTCAAGAATTCAGTGCTGGAGCTGTACTGAAAAACTTGTTGAACAGTTACTGCTGCATTATAAAAATTTGTTTTTTAAAATTCATACTTTCAGATTGGGCTTGCCTAAAAGGAAAATATTTGTGGGCTAAGAAAAGGAATTTAATAATAGCTATTTGTTTAGCATAAATTCTACATGTTCCAGATGACTGAACCTAACCCAGTGAAGAACCAAAACATTCAAAATTTTGGTTCTAAGAGAATCACAGGCAAATGGTCTCCAGAGAATGTCTTCTGTTTTGTTAATGAAGTCTGATCATCACCAGTACGGGTTCTACATTGTAACAGTGAGTTAGTAAAAGGCTGATAACAGAGGGCCCCACCTGCTGGTCACTGCAGCTAACACACAGGGGCCCAGCTGAGACTCACAAAGCTCATTTACCCCATATACCAGCAAGGGCTCGCAACAATGGCCTGAGAACTAGGAAAGGCTTTTACATTCTCAACGGTTCAAAAAAATCAAAAGAAAAATATCTCAAGACATGGGAAGATGATATGAAATTCAAGTCCCAATGTCCATAAATAAAGCAGTACTGGAGCCCAGCCGACCAATTGTAGTGCTATCACACTGCAGAGGTGGGGCTGAGCAGCTACCGCAGAGACCATATGGCCCATAAGCCTGAAATGGTTACTACCTGGACCTCCAAAAAAAAAAATTGACAGTTCTTGGTGAGCCCTTGGGGCGTTCTGCTCTGACTAAGCCATAATCATGGTCTTATCGATAAAAGGGATAGGTTTTGGGGTGCAGAGGAAGATTTGAGTCCTAAGAAGGAAATTAATGGGTAGGTAGAACTAAGGCATGTTTCTCATCAGAAAAATGCACCCAATCTCTAACAGGCTATTAGAAGGATTAAATGAACACATGCGTGAGGGTCCAGACCAGACCCTGCTTATTGTATCACTGGCACAGATGTTTCTAGTGACCACATGGAATTTGTTAATTGAATGGCCTCCTGGTTAAGAGTGATAAATTTAATAACGACTTCAGTAACAATAAAAACTGTCATATTAGAAGTAGAATATTAAACTGAAAACTGAATTTATCTCTAGATCTTTGGTAGCACATGTGTTTCATACTACATTTCCCCTTAATTTACAATAAAAAAAAAAAAGGATACAACAGAGGCACAAGTTCATGTGCATTTCAAGATGTTTATACTAAACTACTCTTGTAAACGCCTAGTTTAGTCCCCTGAATGAGGAAGGAGGTGGTACTGTAAATGGCCTTTTCTGCTTGCATGCTAGCCAGGCCTGAGTCTGTCTTGCTGCTTATTTTCTCAGAGAATCTACTCCAAAGCCTGACATCAAACTCCCAATATATGTTTTGGTAAGCAGGATGATTAATTTGCTATCTAGGCAAAAATATGTCACATACAGTACATTATTACAATTCTATGTTGTGGTTAGCAAACTGCTTTGGTACAGACCAGGCAGTGAACATTCTGGGCTTCATAGGGTGGATAGTGTTGTAACTCTATCATTACACTGTGTGAGCAGCCATAACATTATGTACACTAGTGACGATTTCAATAAAATTTTATTTTTGGGCATGGAACTTTGATACCACATAATTTTTGTTAAATAGTCCTTTGATTTTTTTTTTTAAGATCTTGTAAAAAGTGTGAAAACCATTTTTAGCTTGCAGATTATATAAAAACAGCTGGCAGGTAAAGTTTGACCCATGGGTTACAGTTCGCTAACTATCATTATCAATTACTAGAGTGAAAATCAAAAGCTTTAAAATAATACCTACTCTCTAAAGTTTTTGTGAGTTAATAGTTATGAAAAAATATGTTAAAGAAATCAGAGAGGTGTTAGATTTACTAAATTAGTGCAATGTTTTCTTTGCTGTTGGTAAGGATGGTGTTTTACAGTCATTTTTAAAAATTAACTATTTTACTAAATTGCATAAAAGCAAAATCAAAATCTTCATTCTTTATTTTGAAGTTCTATTTTCAATCACCAGCCAGCAAAATGTAAATCAGGAATTAAAAAAGAGAAAGCAAATATCAATTTCTTCAAGTACTGAAAATTAAATCTTCAACTATCATACATCAACAGATGTAAGGTTAACAATTTGGTTCAATATGATTTTTAAGAGAGTCATTCATTAACTAAACATAGCATTTGGGAGAGATCAGAGAATTTGGATGCATCAGATTCAAGAAACATTTATTGAGGACCTTTTTATTCTGGTACTTTTTACAGTCAATAAGCAATAGGCAATTCCACGGAGATGGGGCTAATGGAGTAGGCATTGAAATCACATGCCAAAGTCCCAAAGCTCAGAACGTGAAGGAGGGATGCTAGCTAGGCTTTCTGACTCCTGGTACAGTGACTATTTTCAAGACATCCAGTCCCATCTTTTTTTTTTTTTAAATGAAAAGGAACTTTAATACAGTGAGTATAACAACACAAAAGACAAAGAATATAATTTCTAAATCAAACACCTGAAGTTACCCATCCCCTTGTGGGCAAAAGTTTACTCAAAAGCAATCCCATCTTTTTTATAGGTGTGATGAGTCAATTCAATTTTATTCAGAGGAAGAATCATACCATAACCTGTATAGTCTGCATCTGTTGAAGGGCTTGATGGACTTGGTGCTAATTGTATCTCTTGTGAGCTGACGGAGACCTTTATTGAATGTTTCTGCTGTTTCATCTGGCTGACAGCCTACAAAAGGAGGGAAATAAGATAAATATCAAATAGGAAAAAAGTAACAGGAGGAGGAGATTTTAAAATGGGTGTACTATGCCTCAAACAATGGTGTACCCCAATAATGTCTTGAGAATATGGAATGGGAGAAGAAGCAAGAAATTTGGATGATTTCTGATTCCCCATGCTCCCTGCTTAACATTACATCTAAAATGCTTTGGGGACAGATGGATCCAGGAAAGGAAGAAGTGTGAGAGCTAAAGACTATTACTGTCATCTGTATATGAAGTTAGGGCTAGAAAGCAGAACAAAAATCTCCTGAATTTCAAGTTAGTCTAATTTAATTGACGAGAAGTCCATAGGTCTGTGCTGTGACCATTGAAAAGCCATCTATGCTGTAGATGTTCTGAGTATACAACACTGTCCCTCTCTTCTGGACATTTTCACTCTAGTGTTGTCAAATATACATCAACTAGGTTAACTAAGCAACATGTGGGGCAGGAAGGGACAACAAACATCTACTGAAAGCCTACTCAGTGCCAGGAATACCATTACATTAAATGCACCTAAAAAAACTAGACCATATCTACCTTTGACTCCCCATGCCTGGAACATAGGAGGGCCTAAGTAAATGTCTGATGAATGACTGAGTGAACGAATGGATGTAGAATGAATACAGAAGAGCAAGACTAAAGGCATGGGAACTCAGAATAGGAGACAACTTTGAAATGTAATGAAATTTTTCATTTGTAATGTAGGTACAGAGACCTTTGCTGTGTGAACTTTGGAAAATTAATATGTGGTTTGGAATTTTTGTTGATAATACTTTCAATGAACATTAGTATTAGAAAACTGAAAACAAAACAAAACAAAACACAAAAGGACTCCATGCTTGCTTAGCAGGCAGTTAAGAAATATAGGTAGTAACCCGACCTGCCTTCTGGATCTGTAGTTAGCCAGGGAACCCATACCCAGCTGGAAGATTCTGGTGGAGGCAGTGAGGCACCAGGCTGTCCCTGGAGTCTAGAAATAGGATTAAGGTAACTGCTTTGGAACAGTAACACCACAAAGCTCTGTCACTGGAAGGCGGTACCTCAACAGCAGACATTACACAGCATGTAATGACTAAAACAGCCAGCACCGCTGTATGGCTCATTGTGCCTTCCAGTTTTCGAAAAACACTTTCATATCCATGGGTTCATTTAATCACCAGAACAACCTTGAGTGTTAGACAATATTACACTTTTACAGATAAAGAAACCAAGACACAAATGTCAAGTGACATCTGAAATCACACAAGCTAATTAGAGGAAGTGGCAGGACTGAAAATCAGTAGTTGAAGAATGCTACAAGTTTAAAGTGTTTATCAACAGCTGCTAGGCAATGGTTTTATGGATGTTCATTTTTCTTCCTGCTCTTATTCTAGCACCACCATTCAATCATGACTATATACTTAAGGCTTATTTGAAAAGAGGGAAGTAGATAGTGACAAGGGGTGACTACTAAAAAAGTGAACCATGGAATCACTTATCTGATTACTTTAAGAATCACCTCGAAGTTATATGTGTCCATGGACTTAATCCTGGTTAATGGATGTAAACAGAAGTGAATGGTACACATTCTAGGTTATTCTGCCTTCCTTCTCTCATGCTGAAATGTTAGTAGGATAGTAATACTATAGCAGCTTTCTTAAACCTCAAAAATGAATGTCACATTTAGAGGCTGATAATCAAATGACAACAGTTATCAGTTAAGAAGTGCCTGTGTCTGTGACACTGAGGCGACACCATATCACCCACAAACTGATTATAACCTTACTGTCAAGAAAAACTTGTGAAAATTAGCCTACTACCAACCTACACAGTTCTTACATCTAACTTTCATTTTTGATTATCTTAAGAGAGTAGACTGTATCAAAGATAAAGGTTAGCTACAGAGTTATTTCATGGAAAATCAAGTGATTTTTTAAAACGGGAAAGCACAAAAGATAATTTATACTTTTATAATGGAAAGGCATGTTTATGACTCATCTTCATATTCCAGCTCCACACTGCATACCATTTCATTGTGTGTACCTATTTTTCAATAGATACTGGTGGTATTAAGCAACTGAAAAATAAGGGAACAGTTCAGAGAAGCCAAGTGAAACATCTAACACACATACTTAGAGAAAAACCTCTTGCTGTTGGTAGACGTGGTGATGGATGAACACAAGTTCTCAAGACTCACCCATCAGTACAAAACCAAAGCACCAAGTATGAAAGATCAGAAAGATTGGATATGCTGTCAGATATTTCTATATTAGAATAAAAAAACCTGGATTTTTTTTTTTTTTTTTTAAGATTTATTTTGGAAGCTGGGATTCCCATTCCAAAGCGAATAAATTGGCCCCCAGGGGTGTGAAGCGCAGGCAAACTTTTTGTCATTACTGTTTTAAGTAAGACATTGCTTAAAGTTAAATCAGAGTAAATGTGTCTTAAGAGATCCAGAGGCAATTTTGGTAACTATAAAACCTCTATGGTTGTTTAAAAGTAAATTATAGTTATCAGTGTTTTTTTGAGAAGGGATTTACACTTTAATAGTTCTTCATGATAGCAATGGAAAATCACTATTCAGAGAAGCTGTGTTGAGTCTGCTACCTTTAGTTACTGTATAGCCACAGGGAAGTCTTTATACAACACTTTATACAACTCTTTATACAACACTTTCTCATCTATAAATCAGTGGCAATACTTATGTACTTTGCAAGGTTGTTTTGAAGATTAAAGAGAAAAGTGTACAAATAAGCCTACTGTTGTGCCAGGAACAGCACAGGAGTTCAGTTCATAATAATAATGTCTTTATATCCTCTGATAACATATTAACGACGATCAGCCAGTTTCTGATTAAAAGATTCCGGGATGGAAATCCCATTTCCACAGGGTGTCTATTCTGTTGAAACAGTTCAAACAGCTGGGGAGTTCTTTACAAAGAGCTCACAGCCTTACTTGCAAAGGCTGGACACAGACCTAGGGGTTGTTTGTCTTTTGCAGTTACAGAAAAGAATCACTTTCCCCAAAGAGAATACTTCAGATATTTAAGACCTCATTTTTAGCTGGGAAAAGAAAGACTACATGATAGTTAGGATAAAGACTACATGATAGTTAGGATTCCCGATAGCTCTAAAAAGCTACTGTTAGAAAATTTTAGACACGCTTGTATGTGCCCTGAGTTAAGTGGCAGTAAATAATGTATTAATACATGAATAAAATTTGGAAATATATTACATGAAGTAAAAAACCTGGCTTTAAATTTGAAAAAATAATCATTTACAGGTTTTCACTTGAACTGAATTCAATTATTTTACGATTCTTTCTACACCTACTCATTTTATTTAGGCTTTTAGCATATAGCTTTGGAAACTCTCTGAAGACATTTTTTGGGAAGCAATGTTTATAACATGTACTCGCTGTAAGCTTTAGAGATCTATAGTGCTTTAAACATAAAATAGTTAATATAATTGCAATAATGTAAATTTTAGCAGCACAAAAATAAAAACTGGAAATAGAAATGAGAATTAGGACTTAGAAAAAAGAAAAAAATCAACAGCTACAAAAGTACAAAAAAGCCGACAAAAGTTTAAAGATTTTTATGAAATGTGAAGCTCAAAATGCAAGGAACACAAAAGTTATTTCTATTTTTATAGAACTAAAAATTTCCCTATTAAAATGTTTTATTTATGACATTATGTAGGCCACAGCACTCTTAGAATTTAAGGGCAAGTGTGTTGTCAGGATGCCCCACTTTTAAGTGCTGGCTTAAGGCACTGGTGGAAGGAGATATACAGAGACTATTTCCACACACCTTGCACAGAATTAGTGATAGAGCTGGGGATTGACTTCAGGCTATAAGACACACACCATAATCTCCTGCCAGGTAACAAAGGATCCGATTTCATTGCAATCACCCCCTTGTCTTCTGGCACCCAGTTGTAACACACACAATCCCAGGAGAGCAAAACCTCAAGCAAATTACGTACATTGTCAGCTGGGCCCTCCAGAGACTGCTGCTGGTCTGCCAGCTCTGAATCAACATCCTGTGAGATGTCCTCCTGAAACAAAAGATACACCATATAAGAGGCTGTGGAGGGTTGAGTTGCATTTTCCAATTTCAGCAATCAAACCCCGCTTAACAGGGTTCAGTCTGCTAAAAAAAAAAAAAAAAAAAAAAAAGAACCCACCAAATATTGATTCTATTCATCCATCTTGAGAAAACCTCAGAAATTAAAACAAGTGTGTCATTTCCAAACATGTATTTTGTGTGCTTAGACCTTTCAGGTTTTAAGCCTATCAGACAGGTATACTTTGGTGATTGTCTCGGCCAGTTTCCTTGTTTTACTAGGAATTCTTGTATCTGAACTTATATATTGAACATTCAATCCTTTGAAAAGGGTTCAAAGTCTAATAGTAGAACTTCCCCTTCCCCTTAGGATATTTAACTAGAGGTAAAAGAGTACATTTAGTGAAAACATTGCGAGATACAGTGACAAGTTTGACCTGAACTCCCCACGAAGTACAGAGTCCAGACTGAGGAAAGAAGCAAGCTACCAAAACACATAGAAAAGTGATGCATTGCAAAAGAACACACAATTGAAATACAGGATGATCCCAATAAGCTGTGCGTTTGTTATTGAGGCAATCTTACATCAGGGGCATTATTAGCTGATGGCAAACTCGAAAACACAAATGCTTTCATTTGATTCGGATTTGGACAAGGCAGGGAACACAGAGACTGAATTGGATAGGAAAGAGGATAGGATTATTCTGGGTTGTGGTGAATTTCTGACAGACCCTCAGGAGCACAGGCAGGCACAGAAGGCAGGCAGGGGAGCCATCCGGAGCTGGGGAGTGGGGAGTGACAGATATAACAGTGTTAGGAGTTTGTGACTTTTAGTTCTTTAAGAGTCCTGCAACTTTTAGCTGGCTCGCTGAGATTGCTACATCACAGTTTCCTCATGTGTAAAATGGGAAGATATTGGAGTAGATATAGTAAAGGATTAAATGAAGCAATACAAAAGAAGCACTTAACATGATATTTAATAAAAATGCTAATGAAGACAATGGAATCAAGTCAGGATGGTCCCATGTCCCTACTTCTACATTGGGGCTGGCGACAAGAATGAGCTGGACAGGGCACTTTCTCCTGTGGGGAATGCTGGCGTAGTCGCTGACCCTCTCACTCTCATCCTGGTTTCTTTTTCTGACATGTTAACATACCCTTTCTGTACCTGTATTTCTGCTGTCTTAGAGTTCATGAGGTTACTTTATCTATCACCTTAGCTTCCCTGAACTATCTATACTAACAATGCAGAGAAGAGACTGGGGATGGGTGTGGAAGCAAAAAGCTTTTCTCTTGTGACTTTCATGAAGGAAGAGACTTGACTGTAAATCTACTGTACTTTTTATGATCTGTAAAGAGAAATTTATCATGTAGGTGAACCTCAAGTGATTTTTGAGAAATACAAGACATAAAGTACAATGAGCTGTGAAAAATGCCACATATTTGAATGCACTTGAACTCTGCCATTGGAAATTTGCATACTGTCACAAAAGAGAGAACAATGCTGACTCAGACACAATTCCTCCTGCTCCTTACAGGGAATTCCAAGACTCTTGCTACTTGAAACACAAAATAAGACTCAAAGTGATGTTGCTCCATAGCCAAACTAGAAATCCTGTAGTTTTTGATGTACTGCAGAGTCAGGACCTTGTTTTAAAACAAACACTGTGAACTCCTAAATGGGAAGAACCATCAGGAGGACTGATATCATTAGAAATGCATTTTTTTAAAAAAAGGATTTATTTATTTATGCTTACAGAACTGGGGTACAAGCCAGAGGGACAGGGCAGTGAGAGGCTTCACCAGAGACAGAGTGGGGAGCAGAACAGGCAGACTGACAAAATACACTGCTGAGGGGAGCAGCGGGCGGGTCAGGAGAGGTCTGCCGCGCCATGTGGGTCAGCTCCTTGGCTGGGGATCAAACTTGTGCTGCAGTGGCTTTGGAGAACTTCATAATGCTGTGCTTTAACCTGTTGCGCCACCAAGGAGAGCCTAGAAATGCATTTTAAAGCAGTTTTCCAAACATGGATGCTAGCACTTTAAAAATACAGAAATAATTTTCAATCAAGTACAGCAGGGGAACAAGCAAGGATGAGAATGTTGGAAGGGCCAGCACTGAAATGAACTGGAGTATATAGCTGATTAAGGGGGAAGTATGAAATGCTTGCTGGTCTATTTAATTAGCACAAAGCACAAGCATTTTAACAACATGTCAGCAGCTGAGTGAACATCCCTGGGGTTGGCTCCTAGACCACCATCAGTTTGGGATTTTGCCTTACAGCGGCTGTGATGTACTTGTGATGGGTGATAGCTTGTTTATCTTTATGTTCTAGAAGGAATATGTAGTGAAGAATGACAGTTTTGGTACACTTACATTTTCTTTTCTTTTTTTTCAAAGATTTATTTGTGCATACAGAACTGGGGTACAGGCCAGAGGCTCAGGGGCAGCGAGAGGCTTCACCAGCGACAGAGTGGGGAGCAGAACAGGCAGATCAACGACGTACACTGCTGAGGGGAGCAGCGGGCAGGTCAGGAGAGGTCTGCTGCGCCATGTGGTCACCTCCGGGGCAGGTGGGAATCGAACTCATGCAGAAGTGGCTTTTAGCTTCTTAGTGTGGTAGTTTAACCTGCTGCGCCTCCAGGGAGGGCCACACTTATATTTTCATAGAGGTGAAGTCTGGTGTTGACACCAGAAATATATTTAAAAAATTATTTATTTTTGCATATAAGAACTGGAGTGTAAAGCGGAGGTGGGGGTGGGAGTGGGGGGGGAGAGGATTCTCCAGAGACAGAGTGGAGAGCAGAATAGGCAGGTTTACTGAAATACACTGCTGAGGGGAGCAGTGGGCAAGACAGGTCTGCTGTGCTATGTGGATCACTTCCCTGGCCAGGGATTGAACTCAGGCTGGTGATAGTGCTGAGAATTAACCCGTAGGCCACCAAGGAGGCTCAACTTCAGAAACATTTACTAAGTCCATATTATAGGCCAAACACTGCTAAAAATCTCACTTATAAATTATTACTCAATTCTCAACAATGGGGTGGCAACCCTCCCTTCTCTATTTCTGGATGAAGAAATGAAGGCAGGTAGGATAAGTCACTTTCTCAGGCTGGAGCTAGTCAGGTGCAGAGGTGAAATCTAACTACGCATGATTTATATTTGAAAGCTTTTCTTTACATCAGAGAAAAGAAGTATTATTAGGCTATTCAGAGATATGGGTTATCATTTAAACAATACTAACTTTTTTTTTTAAAGATTTATTTATTTATTCATACAGAACTGGGGTACAGCCAGAGTTGCAGGGGCAGCGAGAGGCTTCACCAGAGACAGAGCGGGGAGCAGAACAGGCAGATCGACGAAGTACACTGCTGAGGGGAGCAGCGGGCGGGCCAGGAGAGGTCTGCCACGCCATGTGGTCACCTCCGGGGCAGGCAGGGATCGAACCCATGCGGAAGTGGCTTTCAATTCTAGTGCTGCGCTTTAACCCGCTGCGCCACCAGGGAGGGCCAACAATACTAACTTTTAAAATGAGGCTTTTAGAAAATTATATATGGGTCAAGAGAGTAAATATATAGTGTTCCTAAAAATGTTCTAGCTGACTGAACTCAGCAGTCAAATGCACAGTCAGCTCAGTGTGAATTTCCATGTCACAGTTTATTTAGGATAGCGACAGTTAATTCAGAAACAATTAATGCTTCCCAGGTATCTTGCTACCCTATAAATTCTAAAGATACTACAGATTGACTGTTACCTTGAATTGCATTGCATACTTTTATTTTTCTAATCCTGACCTAAGGGTTAGAAATTGTTTCATAATGAAAAGATAACAGTAAAGACAAACACTGCAGACAGTTTGAAAAATCTAAAATGTTACTTATTGAGGCTGCTATATGTGAACCAGGTCTCCAATGATAAAGAATGCTTGACACATTATGGCTAAGCAGTGTTAATAAAATGGGAAAAGAGGGCACATCTTCCCCAGTATTTCCTAGAAGGGTTATCATGGGTAGCTGGCCAAGTCCTGGGAGGATGTGGTTTCCCATACCCAGATGGTACAATTGTGATTTTAATAGCTCTGAACCTGCATCCAGAGAAGAGTTTTCAAGAACACATACAGATGAAAGCTTGCGTGCTGGAGGCAAGGAAGATGAATTCTTTAACTGGCCACTCTGTGGAACTTTCCTGGTAAATATATACATTACCTTGCAGTTGATTTCATTATGATCTTTGCAAAGACAGGATATGAGACCATACCCTGCTGGTGCCATCTTTTACAAATGATTATTGGTGTAATAACTCCCAACTGGTCTCTGCATCCACTCTATTCCAATCTGATCGCTACATTACAGCTAGGTCTAGATGCAATGACTACAGCTTCTCATAGAATACCAATACTGACCACCTCATTAACATGGCCTGGCTCCTGCTGACCATTCCAATTAGGCTTCAACATCTTTCCAGTTCTGGTAAGTACTACAAACTTTCAGTACTTGGAATTCACCAGACTCCCTGAGGCTTAAAGTTGGCTAGTGACCTCTGGTTCCACACAGTCCCACCCCCAGTTAGCACCAGTTTCTCCTTTAGGTCTCAGCAATTAAAAAGGACAAACTCATGCCATTTGTGGCAACATGGATGGAGCTAGAAGGGATTATGCTAGCTGAAATTAGTCAGAAGGAAAAAGATAAATACTGGATGGTCTCACTAATGTGTAGAACATAGGGAAACCAAACAAAAGAGAAAAGAAGTCAAGAAAGAGTCAAAACTAGCAAGCTGACCGCAGAAGAGGCACACAGCAAAGGAGGGGAAAGATGAAGACAAAACAGTGGTAATGAACACAAGGGACTATGGTGATGGTTTATCACAGGTGCTATTGTGGAGGGAGAACTATGGGGCTTACAATGATGTAAGAAAAATAAATTTAATTAATAAAAATGAATTTTGGTTTCCTTCATTTTTTAAGTACCTGTTTAGAGGGCTATGTAACTTTATCTATGTAAAAGGTACATTTCAGCATCTTTATCTGTTTTTACGTCATCATTTTCTGTTGGGGTTTGATTTAAACGAAAGGGAAGGAAAATCACTAAGTTTAGATTCCAATGTAGCCTTCTTGCTGTCCTTTAACTTTGTTCTATGTATCTCTCTGATATGCAATACTGCACAGTTGTTTAGGATACAGCCTCAGCTCATAGTACATGGGCCTGGATCCAGGCTTCACAAGGTGCTTATTTAGACAACTTACTGAGCACCTCTGTATCTTGTCTCTTTAATGAGGATGACATGAGGACTAACTTTATGTGATGTTATGCAAATGAGCTTGAACTAGAATTGGCATATTCAATAAATGCTGTCTATTAGTATTAGCAACTGCATTTTTCAGATTGAAAAATTCATTTCAGCTTTCCAAGTTACCTATCAATGCTTCATTCAGAACAGCTAACTCACTTGTGGCTAATCCTTCAAGCTCTGATCAGAATGTTGTCATAATCAACAACAATAACTCACCCTTACACTTTGGAGTGGGTCTACAGAATATTTTATGGCTTTAAATTTAATTCTCATCACAACCTTTAGTTTCTTTCTTCCATGTTTTGATGCAGAAACAGAAAACAGAGAGGTTAAGCTACTGGCTAAGATTAGATTGCTAGTAAGTGGAGGAACTAGTATTTGAGTCCAACTAGTTTAACTTCAATGTTTACAACCTTAATAAATTTAGTTATTGTGTAGCAAAAAGAGTATATTATATTAACACAAATATCCCAACGTGATAAAGACATAAGTTCATACCCAAAAGATTAAAAATACTTGAGTAATTCACAAGTTCCCATGTCAAGTTACTGAGGAGTCAAGGCTCCTTTAGGATGGGCTCAGTTCTTCCAATTTCTAGTTTTGTGATCTGGAAAAACCATTTGCAAGTCTAAATAATTAAATAGTTAAATAATTCCTGCTCTGCTTTTACATATGGTTATGCGGGGGATAAAATGGAATAGGATCACAAATAATTTAATCTAAATACCATTAAAGAAATCTTAGATATTAAAAATACTAAACTAGTAGCAAAACTGTATTTTGTAAATTGTAAAGCTTTGTGAAAATAGCTTTTTAAAGGTTCCTCTCAAAAGGCTCAAAATAAACAGTCTTAATAGGCTCTCATCTAGACTTCTGAATTAGATTCCAGACACTTCCCTGCCTCCAGTCTCTCACAATTGTAATCTATGCCTCACAAACCATCACCTGATCAGTTGTCTAAAAATAAGTTACTCATCCTTTAAAAATATTAGAAATCAATAACTGCTGAAGTTATGAACTCCTTGACTGTATCTGGGGATTATTGCGATATGGTTAAAAAGTCAATTATACCTAGTAACAGAAATAGAATATATTGGAATATGTACAGACCCATGGGAAGATTTTGGAGAAGAATTCAATAGTTCTTTAAAGTGTCTCATGGGTTACATCTTACATATATGTGCAGTCCATCTAGGAATCAAGATACTTATCAAGCACTGAGCATAAAAAAATGAATGATCTATAATTCATTGCATGCATTCCCTTCAGGTCTGTGATTCTACTGTTCAAATTTGCCATTGTTATACTACGAAAGCCTGATCTTTATCCCTTCTACATAATCCATGCTGTTTGATTCACCTGGTAAATCTGTGTGTGCCAACATCAGCAGTCAACTGATTACTCATCTTTAGAGATTCTTTTAAAATTTTATTTATTTATGCACACAGAACTGGGGTGCAGGCCAGAGGTGCAGGGGTGTTGAGAAGATTCACCAGAGACAGAGTGGGGAGAAGAACAGGCAGATGATGAAGTACACTGCTGAGGGGAGCAGTGGGCATGGCAGGAGAGATCTGCCATGCCATGTGGATCACTTCTGGAGCTGGGAATCGAACTTGCACTGAAGAGGCTGTGACTGGCTTTGCAGTGCTGGGCTTTAACCTGTTGCCCCACCAGGGAGGGCCCCTGGACATTCAATTTTAATGGTCCCAAGTCTAAAAACCTTCCCCAGCCATGAAAGAGATGTTTTTTCTTCTACTTCAAACTTTTTATTCTCTGGGTCTCTATTACACCTCTGCCAGGTAAAACTTGCCAGTGACAAATTCTCTTATTTTCACTGATGCTTGAGGGTAAGCTTCAGTGCGACCCCTGTCCTTTTCTCTTAGTCACTCCTGAGTGGCCAGCATAGCACCTGATGAGAAATGTGCCCCACCAGAAGCAAACAAATAACTTTTAGAGGGTTTGAGTTTACTGTTTCAGCTGTCTTAACATAAGCAAGGATAAAAATAAGGCCCACACATAGCATATACTGTTCTCTGACAGTATGCAGACAGCAGTAATCCTCAAATGAAATTTTTACCTGCAAAAAGCAATTTCATAATTTGACCTAATAATTTCGGTATTTATTAGCTATATCTCTCCCCCCCCCCCCCCATTCTGAAGAGCAAGAGAAGACCTTTTGATACATTTTGTTCAGCTGTGATTTTATTGCCGGGAATACAGAATATACGGCAAATACTGAATTAGTGAAAGCATTTGCTAAGCAAGTATGCCTTATGCTCTACGACAGGGACTCGTACTTTATAGCTCATATGTTAGCTCATCCTAACTACTGCTGTTCTTCAGATGAGGACACTAGGCCTGGAGAGGTCAAGTACTTGCCCAAGACCAAACTCCTGATCAACGTTTTGTGCTTGGCATTTATATTTATGCTATAAAGCGGCTCAAATATGGGGTAACTTTCTTGTCGACTACACTATGCATAAATTCTATTGGAAACAGAACATTCTATTCTACAAAAAAATTGTAGAATACCAAAGAGAGAGAGAAATGGGGAGGGAGAAAAAATAAAAAAGGATATCTATCTATGGGTTCTAGGAAGACTTTAATTCTTGGTAAAAACAATGTGAAATAAATCCAAAAATTACCCTCAGTCCTTGTCCTTTGCCTAAGGGTGATGTTTAGACACTGTTTCAACTGCCTTGCCACCTGCAATCCCATCATTGTTGGCACTGTCTTGGGAACAGGGGGGTTTGATGGAGGATGGGTTTCCCTGTGCCCGACAAGTGAGCCTCCCTGTGGCCACCGGATGCTTCAGCAAACAGGGAGTGTTCTCACCCTTTACGCTATTACCTCTGTGGATGAAATTGTGGGTCCTACTTATTAAATCTGCTGCGATAGAACACTTCCCTTACTCAAAGGAAAACAGAACAAAAAAGTCAAGAAGAACAAAGTAAGACTGTTTTTAAATGAAGGCATGTTCAACAGAGCAAAGCAAACAATGCAATCAAAAAATGGGCAGAAGAGCTAAAGAAATACTTTTCCAAAGAAGAAATGCATAGGGTTAACAGGCATATGAAAAAAATGGTCAACATCACTTATTATCAGGGAAATGAAAGTGAAAACCACAGTGAGATACCATCCCACAAGATGTGAGAATGGTCCGTGTTGGAAAAATGAGAAACAACAAATGCTGAGAGGTGGAAACAAGGGAGGAAAGAACACAGGTGCTGTGGTGGTGGATCACAGGTGCTGTGGAGGCGGGAGAGCTATGGGGGAGAAGTCAAATACTACACCTGAAAGGAGAAACCAAATACTGTCCAAATTTAACAATGATGTAAAAAAATAACACACACACACCATCAGAATAAGAAAACAACTTAAAAAATAAACGAAGGAATTCTGAAATTTGTTATCCCATTTCCCGTCTCTTATGGCAAATTATGTAGTTTGTCTTGCAGAAAGGAAACCATGTAACCTTGGAACACCTTGTTCAAGAACAGTGGCCATACTCTGTTAGTCCTACTCTTCCTGGTGCCAGGGTTCTTAGGTACCATGTTGGGTTGTCTAGCTTGTTATACTGTAATTTCCAGGTCGCTGAAGCACCCTTTCCCTCCAGGCTGAGAGAATCAGCTCACTCTCTAGGACATGAAATCTAACTCAATCAAAAAGCTCAAAGAAGATAAACAGATGAATTCTCAAATTCCCTCAACTAAAATGAACTGTGTGTCAGCAGGTGACCCCTTCTGAGTGATTAATTCTCTGAGATCTGTAAGGCATCTTATGTGAGAGAGAAAAAGCCTTCATTTTCTCCTAGAACTTGTAATCTAACCCTCAAGATGCTAGGCGGCAAATCAGAAAGGCAAATCAATTGAGCAAAGTCATTGATGTCAGAGGGTCTGTGGATTAATTTCCAGGTCTCCAACATACTAATTAGTGGCTTTGGACAGTTAGTTAACTTCCCGAATCTTTTGTTTCCTGCAAAAGAACGATATCACCTTTATACAATAACAGGAGCAGGAAATGAATGGAAAACACAGCACAGTGACAGTACAAACTAAAAGCTCAGAACATATTAAGTTACAAAATACCAAATATTAGGACACATGGAGCCAGAATTCTTTAAAACTGCCTCTCTTACTACTTCACATCTGGGCTAGTTTAAGATTCACGACTATGAATCAATGGAGTAAATTAAACATCTCTTTCTGTGCTCCTAGGATATATTATGCACAGCTGTACCTTTAAAGAAACCCAATATTTAATTAGATTTACAAGACAGATCACTTTTTTAGTCTGGGGTAGAACAAGTCAAGTGCGAAGAGAGTGGGAGAATGTGCAATTCTTTTATTCCAGGGGCTATCTTTCCCTGACTCAGAGTTTAGAGATGGAAATACAACAGTTATCCTTTCCAAGGTGGTACAAAATATAAATAATGCAGCCCTGCAAAGAACATTGGATGAAAAATGCCCAGGATTCTTACCAGTCTGCAGCTTTCACTTTCAGACAACTGTTTAATGCCAAATTCAAGACTGCCGTCTTCCTCACTGCTGACAGGCTCAGCACCGCTCTGATCCTAGAGGACATTCAAAAGAAAGTGGCAAAGACATCATTCTTCACTCATATGGGCCCACACTGTACAGTCACCATATATATATACACATACATACACACACACACACACACACACACACAATCATTCACAGTTGTTTGCTTTGGTTTTGTAGTGACTATTGTTTTCTTCTTGAGAAGCTATTTCTATTTTCTTCCTCTCTAGTGTAAGGCCACATTTCCTCTCCGGTACCTACCTATCTATCCACAGGAGCCTTAGAGAAATTGATTCCTACTCTCTATCACAAAAGTAGGCCTGACTGTTTTAAGGTTAATCCTATAATTTTTTGCCAGTGATTTTGCCAGGAATAGGTATGTGATTCAGTTCTGGTTAATGAGACATAGCAAGGTTTGCTGGAGACTTCTGGAAGCGTTTTCTTGATTTTTGCCCCCCAGCTCAGAGAAAAGATTGAGTTCATCTTCCTTGCTCTTAAAAGACCTGCAAGAATTACCCATACCACCTAAATAAACAAGAATGCACAGAGCTCAGATTGCTAGAGGCAACCATCCTACACTTGGGAAAGAAGCCAGTGATGGCATGAAGGTGACACCAAATGAGCAAAGTAGAGTGGAAAGAACTTGGTTTTCTGATGGCAAAACTGGTCATAGGATAAAACATCTGACTCTTAACAGACTTCTAAAGCAGGCCTGTACATTTACTCATTGGTTCAATTTCAGTTATATTCTGTACCCACAAGCCAAAACTTTGAGACATTCACTTACAGTCTGCACTTAAAAAAAAAAAAACCTGGCCCTCCCTGGTGGCGCAGCGGGTTAAAGCACAGCACTGAGAATCTAAAGCCGCTTCCGCATGAGTTCGATTCCTGCCTGCCCCGGAGGTGACCACATGGTGTGGCAGACCTCTCATGACCCGCCCGCTGCTCCCCTCAGCAGTGTACTTTGTCGATCTGCCTGTTCTGTTCCCTGCTCTGTCTCTGGTGAAGCCTCTCACCACCCCTGAGCCTCTGGCCTTTTCCCCAGTTCTGTATGCACAAATAAATAAATCTTTAAAAAAAAAAACCCAAAGCTTATTTTTACATCATTTTGTACATTTTTCTATCTCAGTAGTAATCCTCTTGGGCTTCCCATCACCGAATCAACCATGTACCATCACCAGTGCATTTCCCTCCTCCCACTGTTTTTGATCCCATTCCCCATTCAGCCTCCATAAAATGTCCCTGGTATATAGCTGTTTATTATTATTATAATTTTCTCACCTGTTCCATTATACTCCTGCTATGAGTGAAACCATCCAGTATTTTTCCTGTTCTTTCTGGCTTATTTCACTAAGCATGATCCCACCCCACTTCCATCCATGTTGCTGCAAAAGGCATGTGTTTATTTTTTTTTGGTTGCTGAGTAATATTCCATTGTGTATATGTACCACATCTTTTTAATCCAGTCATCCACTTTTGGGCATTTGGGTTGTTTCCATGTCTTTCCAATTATAAATAAAGCAGCATAAACATGAGGGTGAAGGTATCTTTTTGAATCAGTGTTTTTGTGTCTTTTGGGTAGATACCTAGAAGTAAGATTGCTGGGTCATATGGAAGCACCATGTTTAGCAGTTTGAGGAACCTCCAAACAGTTTTCCATAGTGGTTATAATAGTTTGGTATTCCCACCAGCAGTGCAGCGAGTTTCTTTTTCTCCACATCCTCGCCAAAATTTGTTGTTGTTAGTTGTTTTAAGATGTGCCATTCTCACTGGGGTGAGGTGGTATTTCATTGTGGTTTTAATAGTTTGTACTTTTTTTGAGGTGAAAGGCTGAGTTTATCTTTATTTCTGAGGGAAAACATTTGTCAAATACTGGTTGAACCAATGAACAGTGTATTTGCTTTCTCAATGATTCTTTTCCTCAGAATTCCAAAAAAATACCAATATATTAAATATAGATGAGACATCTATTAATAATAGGTCCCATTAAAGTCCCAACTACGGCCCTCCCTGGTGGTGCAGCAGGTTAAAGCACAGCACTGAGAAGCTGAGGCCACTTCCGCATGAGTTCGATTCCCGCCTGCTCTGAAGGTGGCCACATGGCGTGGCAGACCTCTCCTGACCCGCCGGCTGCTCCCCTCAGCAGTGTACTTCGTCGATCTGCCTGTTCTGCTCTCTACTCTGTCTCTGGTGAAGCCTCTCACCGCCCCTGAGCCTCTGGCCTGTACCCCAGTGCTGTATGCACAAATAAATCAATCTTTAAAAAAAAAAATCCCAACTACATTTCAGACATTTCACTTGAATTATATCCTATTAATTGCTATAGTTTATTAAACAAGTTTCTTTACTTTCTCAGGGTATGCAGGAGGTAACAGGATGATAAACAGAATATGCACATTATATTTAAAAATGTAAATTAAGCAAAGACACATCATTCTTTCATCAACAAATAGACAACAAAACAGAAAGATAAATTAATAACTGATAATGTTAGAAGAAAACTGGGGAATCCTTTCACATCATTGAAAGAATGTAAATTAGGACTTTTTATTCAGAAAAATACCATGTATTTATGAGAGAGAGACAGAGATACTAGGAAAATATCTGTAAGCATTTAGAACAGACATTTTAAATATTTTACTTCTAGAATATAAAATTAGAGAATTTTGCAGTAGTTAATTCTGTACTGCTTGATTCCAAGAGAATTGGCATGTATAGTGCATGTTTAAAGGAGTTAAAGGAGGGCAAGTAAAAAAGATCTAAAGGAAAAAGAAAATCCAAGACTTTTAAATTTATCATACCTGTGTTTAAATCTAACTTTGCAACTTAAAATTATTTTAGACAGGTAATTATCATTACTTTCTAAGTATCGAAAGTATGGGTAAATGTGCCAAATTAAAATGCCCACCCCATCAGGTAGTATGGAAGACCAGGACTTTAACATATAAAATGTCTAGCCACACAACACAGGGTATAGTCCATAAGCCACATTGTCTTCATAAAAAACCCCCTATAGTATGCTCCACTATAATCCCAATTCTTGTATGAAAAATGCAATGTTTTAAATAATTTGCTAAAGAACTCTTAGCCAGTAAGAGGCAAATACAAGATTCAAAGTGCAGTAGATGGACAGAAAGGACCATGCTCTTGGTAAGTATACTCTGTCCCTAAATAGAAGATACTCTTGCATCCCTCTCCAACTCTTTTCACTTTTGTTCTTTTGTATTGATAATGGATCTATGGAAGACAAGATCACTGTGTTAAAAATAAGTCACCATCAATCAGCCATGGCTTTAAAAGAATTCTGATATTTGTCAACTGTAAAATTTCATTAACTATAATGTCCACCTATGAATAAAGAGACAATTTGATTAATAATTTGGGTAATCAAGAAGTTATCATATAAGCACATCCAGGTTAATAAGAAAAGTTGGAAATAATATAGATTTTCAGTATTTTAGACAGTGGCAAGTTTTAGGGACAGAAGATGACTAAAAAAACTAATTATACTCTCAAAACCCAGAAATTAATCTAGGGAGAAGCTTTATCACCCAATTACTTCAGGTGTTGGGTTCCGTAAGCTGTGGGGAACCCTAAGAGGCAGCAGTGAGGTGCTGCCGTAGACTGAAGGTTTAAAATCATCTATGTGGCTAAGGTCGGCAAAGTCCATTGCAGACAACTCTGCAGGCCTTTTCTCTGGTAACTCTGTAAATGGCCACCTCCTGTGGTCTCAGATGAGAGGAAATTTTCACCAGGACAGTAGTCAGAAGATGCCTTTCATATAATTATGTAATTTTGTCTCCTTGAGTAAAGGTAGTGCTTAAATGTCTGTAATCTTTCATAATTTCCCGGCAACGTAAGTATGGAAAATGAGGTTTTTTTGAGTCTTCACAAAATGAACACTGAAGTGGAGGAGAAAACTGTTTAACTGATGCTCCAATTTAGAAAATTTAAGAAAACATGAGTAAGGTTGCTTAGCTTGCAAATAGCCTACATGTGTTATAAGATTTGAATGAAAATCTTTATATTGATGCCCTCAAAGTGCATTCTCAAACTCCACTTCATAAATTCTTCTGTTCTCCTAAGCTGGAGGCCATCTCTTCTTTCCCTAAGCTCACTTAACTTCTATGTCATTATCTTCTCATTTATATACTAATTTTGTGTTTATAGAATTGATCACTCTGATGAGGCTGAAAGACCCTTGAAATCAGCTCTGTACCACACTTGTTTTGTTTGATTCATTTTTATATTTATCCAAGGTCTGTCTTGTTTCGAATCTGATGCTCTTTGATCTCTATGATGAGGTTACACTACAGCACTTTTGTTTTCAGTTACTAGCTTAGTTTGAGATTATGTCATAGAGGAGGGTTTGAAGTCAAAATAGAGATGGAGAGGAGAATCAGGTAAAAGGAGGCTGTAATGCAGAGGCAAGCAGTAAAGCATTTACTTTCTTGGGAGAATTAGTTTACAAAAGAGTATGCTTAAATAGGTTCAGAACAAAACAATGGGGGTTCTGTTAGAGAACAGAATGGCTCCTATGTGTTAAGTAGTTTTCACAATATCCCACTGACCAGAAGCTTAGTTAATGGACTTGTCTGATTTGGGAAAATAGGTCAGCAGGCATGATTTCCAGAGCACCATTGGATCTCAGTGGTTTGAAGACCATCTGGCTGATGGAAGGTGACTAACTGACACCCAAGATGATTCAGCTAATCCGGATGGCTGCTGTTCCCTTCCTCTCTTTCTGATCTTCAAACCACCTGTCCAAAGCTGCTTGCTCAGCCAAGGACTCAGGAGAATGACCTTTCTGCATGAGGACTGGTCAATAGATTCCACAGTGAGTTATGCTTCACAGATGAATGAGAAGAAAAGGCAATGCTTGTGATTGTACATTTAAGTTTTTACAAAGAGGAAAACACTGCCAAGAGGTGCTTTTTAATCACCACTGAAAAGTCTTTTTTTAAACACTTAAAAGTTTTAATTCTCTTCTTGGGATCCTTCAAAATCTTCATAAGGTGATCATAATTTC